ACTAAATGGTGTCACTTACTCGCACAAAAATGCATCTGCTTCATCAATAAAAAGCAACAAGCCCCTCTTAGACTTCTTTGCCCAGTCAAATAACTGGTGTATCTTTGTAACTGCCTGTGGTCCCAGTGGAGCAACATCTCCACCCGTCATCAATGCATAATCTAATCCCTGAAAATTGAAAGAATATCAGAGAATGAAAACAAATGAACAAAAAAGCAACCGATTTCGAACATTTATCATAAACTATTTCAATGTTGTATACAAACATATAAAATCAACAACAGTCAAGTATTGTTCCAGAGAAAGAAAAAAAAAACTTCTCCTATTCAATTTCCTTACTTAATTCACTGTACTTTATATAAATTAAGCTTATAACAGATTGACATGTTTCCAAACTTGCAAAAGTATCCATACACTTGAATGTATACCCAAAATCTAACAGTCCGACTGAGCTGAATCAAGGTGCTCAAAGAAACCAATATGAATTTTTTTAAAGAAACATTCCTTCAAAACAAAGAAATCAACTTTTGCAAATTAGAAGATATATAAGTAAAGCAATAAATGGCATTACGAAGGTGTAAGAGCTCATACAGATTTACGAGCCAATTCTCTTGCAGCCATTGTTTTCCCTGTCCCAGGAGGGCCATAAAAAAGCATGTTCCTAAATGGTGCTTGGTGGGCTTTTGTATTGGCAGTTGCACCAGCTAGCTGCTGAATTCGTTTTTGAAGAGAAGGGTGTAAAACCACATCACCAAACCCATTTCCATTTTTTGAAGATGATATTTTATCGCCAGTACGTGATGGAAAGCTCATAGCACGTGAAAAGATGCCAGACCAAGGGTACTTCCCTCTGGAAGATTCTCTAATAAGTGATGGCTGTCCCAGAATTCTATCCACGTAGCCCCAAATCACCCTTGCACCTTCTCTGCATCAGAGGGGTGGCAAATGTGTAAGCAATTACCCTCACAATTGTGATCAATATATAAAGTGACATTAAAAGTGGCAAATTCTGATAAAAAAATAATGATGCAGGGGTATTGAATTTAATTTCATCAAAAGTTTGAATATGGGTCCTTTGGTTTCACTAAGTCTACATCTTTTTACCAGAAAATAAAGGGAGAATGGAAAAGAATTCTCAAGGAATCTTTATATTTAAAAATATTCCCCACATAGTTAGCTAAAAACCCTTTGGGCAAAAGAATTCTCAAGGAGCTTTACCCCTAAACTCCTTGAAGAGATTTTGTGTGAGATTTCCTGAAAATATCCACAGCCTAAGAGAGAACTCCATAGAGAGGTTACAATATCTAAGAACTTGGTATCAGCAGAATGAGATTTTTTGAGAGACTTTCAGTTAAACCAGAAAAAGGTAATCCCAAAGGCAAAGCAACAGAACATTATCCCACCGCCAGCTACCTTTGTTACAATGCAATGTAAAGAACCAAATGAAAGTTTTTATGGGTATTGAGCAAAGCAAGTAAAAACCACCTTATTTCAGAAACAAGAAATATTCAAGAAGAATAAACAAATCTACATTGACACAAGAATATTTCAGGCACTTAATCATTTCATTAGCATCTTTAAGACAACTCACCAACACCTAAAACATACAGATGGAAAAAAGACACAGATATGCAATCTTCAAGCAAAATCTATCATTTACCTGGTGGTGTAAATGCCAGCAGCAAGAGCTGTCAACCCCCCAACAGCCACAACCAGCTTGTTTTGATCTGTCAAAATGGCTCGCAAACCACCTAAAAAAGAGAGATGTTGTCACATTAAGCCACACCTTATTAAGCAGTAACAGATAAACAAATGGCACTTAAACAACATATCAAAGTCAACATTGAGCTCGAATTCCCTTTCAGGCCATCAGAATAAACATTTAAAATATACCACTGTATTTAGTACAGAAACAAAACCATAGAAGCAACAGAATTAATCAGTGCCATGATTTTCTTCTACTAGGTCAGATTATTAAGAAACTAGACGACAGATAAATGGCATCTACCTCCCCCCCTCAGTAACCAATGTACAATATTTTTGAAGTTACAGCTACATTTGAAGAAAATATTAAAAATGGGAATGTGTGATTTTCAGAATCAAGCTGTTTAAAGCTTCCTACACTATTTGAGTGCATAATATTGAATCAATACCTCCAATATGGTCAAAAGTAGTATTTATTGCAGCAACCCACTTCTCTCTTTCTGCATTTGCACGATCTACAAGGATGCGCCTATTAACTTCTTCAGCAAGCTTTGCTTCATGGGCTCTCCCTTCTGCTTCTGCCATAGCTCTCACTCTGATTGTTTCACGTTCAATCTCAGCTTTCTCCCTCTCTGTTTGTCGCCGCTGTGCTTGAATCTGTTCTTCTGTAGCTCGCCGAGCCTGCTCCTGTCTAATTGCTGATTCCTCTTGCAGTTTTACAAGCTCTTGATTTCTTGCTCTTTGGTATTCATTTTCTGCCTACAATAACATAAAATATTTACATTCTTTCCCATATATGTTTATATATAGTAACAACTTCGTGAATGCTGAAGCATCAATGGATACATGCCTGCATCCTCTTCCTTGCCAATTCATCCTCATAACGAGCCATCTGTGATTTTGTTTGGGCTTGATGCTGAGTTAGCTTCTTCTGTTCATCGTATATTACCCTTTGTCTCTCCTGCCAGCAGCAGGGTAGATATTCAAAAACAATAATAATAAGAAAAATTATATAACCATAACAGACAGTTCCAAAGACAACAAAACATTTGGAAGAAAGTTTAGAAAAGAAAAAGGTAACGTACACAAAATGTAGAATGTTGTGTGCTAATTCTAGAGCCTGGTATTGCTTACTGTTTGAATGACCAAAGCCTATAAACCCCAAAGGCCATTTAGTTTAATAAATTACATTGCTATCTGTAAATAAATAGGGAAAAAATAAGACTACAAATTTCAAAAGGACATGCTCCTGCAGAGACACGTTTACATAGCAGAAAGGAGCTTCACATGGAAAAACTTAATATCCGTTCGAATAACCAAAATTTCACCAAGGATATATGGAGAAGCTCAAGTAGAAAATCAAGTTCAAGCCTTGCAATATTGACTTAACCACAAATAACAACACAATGTAATACCAAAAAGCTCCACAGCCCAACTAAACTACAGGAATTAAAAACTAGTTGTATCTTACCGCAACCTAAAACTCCTACTAACTAGAGGCATTTCATGTACAATAAGTCAAAGGTGAATAAAAATACGAAGAATTGTCTGGTTAGAACTCAAATGAGATTCCAATGCTTAAAAGAATTAAAAGGGTACAACAAAACTACGAAAATCACCCCAAAAAATCCAATCAAGCAGATTAACCTTGATGCTATTAAGGAACAACACTTGCAAATTCAAAATTAACCTT